AAAGTGTTACCTTGCCAAAGCACTGACAGAGCCCACTGATCTAATGGCGTTGTTGAGCACTCCAAACGCAAACTTTGCATGCAACAATCAGGCAGCAATTGACAGCACTCTGATCTAGTGGCATACGGGCATCGTCAGATTGACAGTACTCTAGCCCAATAATGTTGAGGGATCCAGTGGGGGCGGCAGTCATATTTCAGGGTGACCGTGCCACTCTTTATCACAACCCTGCTAAAAGTGCCAGTACGTGCACTCATTGGCGCCCCTTCAGCTGGTGGCGCCCTAGGCGACCGCCTAGCTCGCCTATGCCTAGAAACGGCCCTGTATATATATACACATACCTTGCTACATGTACTGCGTTAGGCTAACCGAGACTTGTCATTTGCACTTATATATTGTTGTTCTTTTGTTTATTTTTGACTGCTTTAATTGTCCTCATTTGTAAGTCGCTTTGGATAAAAGCGTCTGCTAAATGACTAAATTAAAAAAAAGAATAAAAAAAAAATTCACCAACAAAATGGTTATAAAATAACCTTTAAAATAAAAATGCAACATTGAAAAGCACTAAAGCATCTCCTGAACTCCTATGTCTCAGTGAGCCACAAAACCTAACAAATCAAACACCATGTTCACCTACAGTTCAGCTCTGACCGTTATAAACGTTTTGAGCCTTTCTCTCACCTCTAGTGGTATCTTGATAGACCTGCATGCAAACACTGGTGTCCCTGATTACACTGGCAAATGACTGCTACGCCCAAGGTCTTCGGCCAAGAAAATCTTAATCTTAATATTACAGTGAACTGTCCCAATCTAATCTTTTAAACCTCCTCTTAACTCTCCCAAAAGGCCATATATCCTTCAGCCTCATAGAAAAAATGAAATTACCACGCAGCTCAAGCAGCAATGATTGCTAAATTAATCTTCCTAAAAAACATGGTCCCTTTTCTTAAACATATTTTAGATGATTAAGAAATACCCATTCAGGCCATGCCACAGCTTTCCTCAGGGGGACGCTTTCATTTGGCTGCTTAAAATGGCCATTAAAGATGGAATATTATTATTATACAAATATGACATGAATATATAAAATGATGATACATAACAGTTGTATAAACAAACAATCTAGAAAATACTTCAATACCTTTTTTAAATGTACTTATTTTATAATACACTGAAGAAAGGGAATTAAATATAATTTAAAATGTATTGCCAGAACTGTCTTTTAATATATAGTATTATTTTTTTCAAATTAATGATCAAAATATATAAAAAAAAGAGCGGTGCACATTTTAACCTTTTAATCAGGAACACATCTTTGACTGATCACGTATTATCCTGTGCCTGAACCGCATTTCTTTGGATATCGTCTTCAAAATTCTAAGATGATTATTAGGATAAAAAAACATGAGGGGACGGTGAAAATGAAAACGTTCGGTAAATCATAAGTACAGTCTCCTTGGGGAATTACAAAGACAAGAAAGCAATCAGAAGCAGACTGTGTATTCACTGGTGTATGATGGATATATTTAAAGATGCGCATATAATCCATCAAACAGAGGCCCATAAGGAGCCTAAACAAAATCAAATTTGTTTCTTATGGGAGAAAAAAAATTATTAGACACAAATCTCCCTTGAGGCAAAAAGTGAACATTTAGTAACCCTCCCAGTAATCTTTATCCACTTCAAATGACCTATATGTCAGAAGAAGGCGCTTTTTCCCCCATCAGATAAGTCATTTTATAGGGCTAAGATGAGTAAAATGAAATTATGATAAAAAAAAAAGAAAAGGTCAAGATCTTAATATGTGCATAATCTATAAGATGAATTCGATCAATTGAGCATTTGTTTGTTGCGGACCAAATGCTGTTTAAATACGCGGCAACAGGATTAGCTTAAATGAACAATCGACACAGATTACTGATCTTTTCGATGTCCTTCTGACAATGTGGCCTCAATTTTGCCATTTTGATGAAGACTGCTGTATTATGTTTTGCTAATAGCAATATTAGAGGTAACAATATTTGCATATTCTATAAATAGTGAACCTTTTATAGGTTTAAAAAAAAAAAGACAGATTTGTTCAAACGCCATCTTGTTAACATGGACAAAATGGTGCAAAGATTCAAGATAGATAATATAAAGATAAGAATAATGCTTTTTATGTTGTGGTAAAATTCAGTTTTAATAAAATATAGGATGTACAGTGCCATGAAAAGGTTTTTGCCCCCTTCCTGTTTTTTTATTTTTTGCATATTTGTCACACTTAAAATATTCAGATCGTCAAACAATTTTTAATATTACACAAAGATAACCTAAGTAAACACAAAATGCAGTTTTGAAATAATTATTTCATTTATTAAGGGAAAAAAACTGTCCAAACCTGCCTGGCCCTACGTGAAAAAGTAATTGCCCCCTAAATCTAATAACTGGTTGTGCCACCCTTTGAAGCAACAACTGCAATCAAGCGTTTGCAATAACTGGCAATGAGTCTTTCACCTCGCTCTGGAGAATTGTTTTAATTCAGCCACATTGGAGGGTTTTCGAGCATGAAAGGACTGTTAAAGGTCATGCAGTATCTCAATCGGATTTAAGTCCGGACTTTGACTTGACCACTCCAAAACCTTCATTTTGTTTTTCTTGAGCCATTCAGAGGTGGACTTGCTGGTGTGTTTGGGATCATTGTCCTGCTACATAACCCAAGTGCGCTTGAGCTTGAGGTCATAAACTGACGGCCGGAGCTCCTGTTGGTATGATGTTCTTTTTATGAAATGCTGTGTTGGTTTTATGCCGGATGTAAAGGGGGACACACCTTCCAAAAGTTCAACTTTTGTCGCATCAGTCCACAATTTTTGCCCAAAAGTCTTGGGGATAATCAAGATATTTTTTGGCAAATGTGAGACAGACCTTTGTGTTCTTATTGGTCAGCAGTGGCTTTTGCCTTGGAACTCTCCCATGGATGCCGTTTTTGCCCAGTCTCTTTCTTATCGTTGAATCATAAACACTGACCTTAATTGAGGCAAGTGAGGCCTGCAGTTCTTTAGATGTTGTTCTGGGTTCTTTTATGAGCTCCTGGATGAGTCGTCATTGCACTCTTGGAGTAATTTTGGTTGGCCGGCCACTCCTGGGAAGGTTCACCACTGTTCCAAGTTTTCTCAATTTGTGGATAATGGCTCTGACCGTGGTTCACTGGAGTACCAAAGCCTTAGAAATGGCTTTATAACACTTTCCAGACTGATACATGTCAACTATTTTGTTTCTCATCTGTTCTTGAATTTCTTTAGATCGCGGCATGATGTGTTGCTCTTTAAGCATGCTTCACTTTGTCAGACAGGTTCT